TGTTATGCTACCTGGAAGCCTTGCACTTTCTACAGCTGGAGATTTATTTATTTTTTTCTTTTTAAATTTGTTTGTATTATTGTAGTAGCAAATTATTTTCTTGATTAGTGTGTCACTGCCCTGCAACTGTTTACTCTTTCTCCTTTGGTTATATAAACATCAACTGTTACACATCACTCATAGCCATCACCATATTTCCAACACCCCTCCAATTTAAGTTCCCTTGCTCTCCTAACAAGCAAAATTAATCTCCATAGTGTTTATACTGAAAAGGTTACATAGAAATGAACAGTACTTAACACTTCCCTTTTTTCCTTTTTCGTGTCCCACAACCAGGACTCCAGACTGCTGTTTACTGCTCTCTACATCTGCCTTCATTCCCCTACCAGAGTTTCATGGAGCTCTTTTTTTATGAATATGAAAAGAAAAATATACATTATTTGATCACTACAAGGCCACTAAGGCATGTGATGAGCTCACAGCAGAGAAGCTGCCATTTTTCTACATAAGCTGCAGTCAGCATTTCTAGTAACAACAGATAATGCTTTGTTGTGCCACAGATGTGGCATCATAGTTTCTAGTAGTTTGTGTTAATTCCCCACAAACTTGCGGCTTTGAAATATTCCATTATTTACAGTATTTATAAAGGCCCTTAAATGATACCAAACACATTGACTCAAGATGTTTGTGACTGTACTGACTGCAGTGGCATATGCTAAACCTGTATTCAAGCGAGTCCTGCACACTAACCTTGCAACCTTGCCCAGCTGTGTACCAGCCCTTACTGTTACGGTCTGTATAGTGTACCACTTTATCTAGGGCTTCCAGGCAAGAAAGTTTAAATATGAAATGACAATGCCCTGCTCAGTTTCAAACTGCAGCTCCATGGAGGTTCTCTCACACGAGCCACTTGCACTGTCTTAGTATTTCACAGTGGAACTCTGACAGCTTCCCAACAAGAGAAACCTCTTTGCTTTGCTGAGGAGGTGGGAAGATTTGCTCCGAGAAACAGCCATAGCTATCGCAGACAAGTAAACAAATCCCAGGTGGTGGGTAGCCCTGGGAGTGTCACCTAATGTCTGTGAGGCTGGCATATTAAGCAAGAATTGTGCCTTGGCTGAAGCATAGCTTCCTTCTGTATTTATTGTTGATTTTGTAGTATACAGGGAAAGAATTGGGAACTAGTCTTTGTGTTATTTGGAGACTGGTTTAGGTTAGGCTAGTAGGTGTTATTCTGCCTCTTTGTGCTGTCAATGATGTGTAAGACTAACAAAATGGGAGCTTCGTCTGGGGAGAGCCGTTCTATTAAATTAGCAGCTGTAAATGACACACCGCATTGAATGGAAGTAAATTTATTTTGTGCTGGCTTTCTTCCTCACTCCACCCCATCTTTTCCAGTATCCCAGAAGCTGTTCAGTACCAAAACTACTCCTGGATCTTAACTTGCTTGGGCAAGATCAAATGAATTCAGATTTTACTCAGATCAACAATAATGACGACTACATTAGAGTGCTGCCTGTGTATCTCATATCATTGCATGAGTTCTGTACCCTGATTTACAATACAGGCTCCCGTTATAGGGTAGAAGTGCTGCTGATTTGTGGTCTCCCACACTAATGAACTGAAATAATAAAATGGATGTGATCAAATGCAATTTGAGTGGCCTTAGGCTTTGCCATAAGATACTTTTGTAGAACAGTACCTGTTTATCACTTCTAAGTTTACATGTACAAAGCTCTGAGTAATGTTTGGCTAATGTGCTTTGATTTATTTTTTTTACAATTAGCATTTTTTTATGTTGCTTATGGAGGTAGTGGTAGTGGGAATTTTATACCACCTGTTCCTGTGATCTTAAAAATATTACATAAAGAACTAATTTGGATCAAAATAGGTGGATTTAAAACAGTGTAGAAGAAAACAATATATTTCAATTACCTGCAACATAAAAAAATTCACCATGGCAATTTGGCAAGATAGGACAAATGGGAGAAAAAAAGGAGTCAACAAAGTATTTTTGAACAGTTTTTCCCATCTGTGATCCGTAATATCTCACTGGCAAGTTATCACACCTTAATAAGTGATCTGTGTAACACCCTGTCTTGGTAGACTTTGCTGGTTTAAGTTTCTTGACAAGGACAATGATACATGCTAAAAACAGATAAAGATTCAACAGTGTTCCCAGACTAAAGTCAAAACCACAGCACTGCACTATCTAGTAAGAAGGAGAAAAATGACTGCTACTGGTGAACCCAGGACAGCTCCCCAAGTTTTGAGCAATAGACGTATTCTACTGCTAGGCTGAAAACAAATTTTTATGACAAATTTAAATTTATGAAGAAAAATGAGAAAATAATTTAGTTGTCTATCCTTCAATGAATACTTGTAATTATACTGTATACCCCTGCATACCCTCCTTTCTGTTTTTGTTAAATCCTTTTTAAAAGCATGATTTTCATACTGTTAAATCAGTTGAAGGGATGGTTATTAAATGTTATCACAAGCCTCTTATTGGGAAAAAAGCTAATGGAATGGTAGCATGGTACGAGTGCCTGAACCTGATGCCTGTGGTCCGCTGTGCAGGAGAATAAATGGCTTACAGTCATGTAAACTAGTCACAGATACTCAGATCCTTTGAACTCTAATAAGAATTGCACGTTTACTTTAAATAGTAAGTGACTAAGCATGTAAAGGTCTTGATCAAACCATCAGGAAAAAAAAAAAAGGGGCTTTCTGTTTACATTTTGTTATTTCTGTCTGAAATCTCTATTTTGCCCTCTGCATCTTTGCTTTGTAATGTTCCCTGCTGAGAAGGACGGACTGGAAACACAGTAGGGATCTTTGCCTTTTAAGTTGCTCTTTGCTTTGCAGAGGCTACATACTAGAAAAACTAGTGTATTTGTCCAGTGTTTTGCTCGGTATGAGAGGAATGTGACTATTTAAGAAAGGCAGGAAACTATTTTTTGGTAATTTTAGGTACATCTCAATTACAAGTACTGAAAGAGCAGACAGAAGTAAAATACATCTCTTAAGGTACATTCATACAAATCAGTTTAGCTTTTGTGCTCTTTGGGCAGGAAATTCTGAAACAATCTTGAATGAAGGTGTGAAAGGATAATTTTGAGTTAAATTTGAAACAACTATGAATTCACAGTTCATGTTTATACAAAGTATTTCTGTCTTCTTTTCTAAATAGCATATATAACAGCTACTGGGGTAGAATCAAACTGTATCATGTTTTACAAGCAGGGCTAGATTTTCTTCTAGTGCAAACTCATGCCCCTTTGTCAAAGTCAAAGGATACATGCTTTGCATGCTAATTTTCTCTGTCAGGTAATCTAGCTTCCATCCACTGGTTTTTGGTTTTTTTTTCAGCAGAAAAAACTCTTAACTGTTGTGATGATTTCCGTCCTTTAGGCATATTTTAATTTAGGGCCAGAATTCCCTATCAGTTGGTATTGGTATGATTCACTGTTCATTATGTAATTCATCAACTTTAATCTACTGTTATCTTAAGCATTACCACAATTTTTTTTTCTCTCAGTTGCATAAAATTCATCAGACTAAAAAGAGTCATGTCATTCTAGCTACACTGCGGGCTCAGTCCAAAGGCTGTTAAAGTCAAAATCTCATTGACTTCGGTGAGATTTGGATAAAGCTCATTGTTTTCGTGCTCTTTCCATCACTGCAGTACCAGAAAACTGAAATAACTGTTCCAAATATCAGTGTCTTTTGATACTTTGCATTGTAGTTCTGAGAAAATATCCAAGCAAATATGAATATAACCAAAGTAAATTCTCTCTTTCTGAATTCAGAATGACTATTTAACTAGCTTTAATATTTTGATACCCAGTACTAAGTTTCACACGCTGTAACTTTCCTTTGCATACAGGTGATGGCTTAAGAAGGTTAGACTGTCAGGGTTGGGAAAAGAATAAAATAGTCTTGTGGAAAAAGCCTGTTAGAAAGTTCTGGAGGACTTTTGTGGTCTGTTTTTCATGCTGACAATGTTTGCAAATTTGCCCATAACCTTGGTACAGAAATGGAGTCTTAATCTGTTTCCAGTTTTAGCGTTGCTTCATCCCCACTTCCCTTTTCTTCATCCCCTACAGCTCTCACAGTTTATCCATTCTTAAGCTGGCTGTCTAGGTTGCAGTTCTCTGCTTGTAAGAGTCATTATAAGTGTGTTTTATGAGTGTTTCTGCTTTGGGAACTGTGGTAGTAGCTGTAATAAGTATTTCTAAACATCAGTTTTGGAACACAACACATTTTTTACTTCCAAGGGTTCACAGTGGGCAAACCAAAGTATGAAATGATCTTACATGCATATTTCCAATTATCTACCTTTTAAATTTCCCTTGAAAGTTTTAGTAAATTCATTTCAGCCTAGTTGTGTCTGTCTGTGAAACTGGAAAAAACAATTGTGCAGTTTTCGCTCTCTGCCCTCCTCTTTCTTCTTGTTCTTGCCAGTGTTGTCTGTCCAACAAGTGTTCACGCCTCATTCCTTGGGATCAAGGTTCACTGGTGGGTTACAGCTTCTTTGGGTTTCTCAGATCAGGGAAGAGTAACTTCTGCTCCATTAATTCCAAATCAGCTAGTTCAGAGACCAGAAACACTTCAGTGGCCTTAGAGCAGAGCTCTTCCAGACTGTTTTCTCCTTGTTTAGGTCTATTGCAGGCATCCAGCTGTTTCACACCATTACTGTACCCTTCTTTGCTAAAAAACAGATGCTTGTTATATTTCTGTGGCCTTCTGTGTTAAAGTATTGTGCTGCCAACTGCTGAGGTATTTGTAATACATGCTCGAATTCATAAAAATGTCACAAAATCATTAACAGTATCAACTGAAGAAAAATTGTGAGCGTAATATCTTGCTTGAGCCAATGTATCAGAATGGGTAGTTTAGATATTTACAGGAAGGTATACCTCATGTGATAGTATAAAAAAAGATCAGAATAGTAGTCCAGGCAAATGTAAACCTTAATTTGTTTTGTTCTGCCTTAGCTTGTGGCCGTGGGTTCTACAAATCCTCCTCACAAGATCTGCAGTGCTCCCGCTGCCCTACTCACAGCTTCTCTGACAAGGAAGGATCTTCAAGATGCGATTGTGAAGATAGCTATTATAGAGCACCTTCTGATCCACCCTATGTTGCATGCACAAGTGAGTCAATCATGAATTTAATAGTGAAGGACGCTGCTTAACCAACCAGGTGCAGCCACTTGTAGCTAGTAGTTTCGGTTGGCTTTTCCTGCATTTGAAATGTATATTTACAACAGTAAATGAAATTGAAAGGCAGAGGGGAAAAATCATTGGCAGTAAATATGGAATCCACATAAAAATAATTTTTATGTTTGCTTAATATGACATTGGAAAATATTGCATGTTGGGCAAGTACGTAACTTGTAATAGAGAGTATACAGGCATAGTTTTCCCATGGCTGCAAAACTGTTGTAGACAATGAGCTTTATGTGATATAATACCAAAATGAGTAACACAAAAAATGAAAAGTAACTGGTGTGGATCTGAGCTTTGACTGAACAGTAATTGGGTCTGGCTTAACCTTCTAACTGCAAATAGACTAGCCTACAAATACTGGTGGTTCAAATAGTGGAAATCTCCTAAATCCAAAGCAGAACCAAATATTTCGGTAAGTCGTATCAGAGCTGATAACAAAGGACTAGATGCAGTTGGTGCAGTATGTTTAGAAGAGACAAACAAATACTGTACTTTGAAAAGCTATAAGACAACCTTTCAGGTACATTAACCAATCCTTTTAATTGCACAGAAGAAAAATGGCTGAAGTCAGTTGCAGTAAATACACAGACAGTTGTTATTCTGATACCTTAATGGATAATAAATAAAGCTCTTACCAAGTGAGTTCAAGGAATCTTTTACTAAAAATAATGAAATGTTTATGTGAAGAAAAATGTTTCAATTATTTTCTGTCTCAGTAATTAGAATGCTAGCTACATGTCCCACTGTGGTTCTGTGCAATTACCATGGTCTTTTTTTCTGTGTTACATAGGACCTCCGTCTGCACCACAAAACCTCATTTTCAATATCAACCAGACTACTGTGAGTTTGGAGTGGAGCCCTCCTGCTGACAATGGGGGAAGAAATGATGTGACCTACCGCATTTTGTGTAAGAGGTGCAGCTGGGAGCAGGGCGAATGTTTTCCCTGTGGGAGTAACATTGGATATATGCCCCAGCAAACTGGATTAGTAGATAACTATGTCACTGTAATGGACCTGCTAGCTCATGCTAACTACACGTTTGAAGTTGAAGCTGTGAATGGGGTTTCTGACTTGAGTCGTTCCCAGAGGCTTTTTGCAGCTGTCAGTATTACCACCGGTCAAGCAGGTAAGTTTTCATCGCTTATGAATCTCAACACTGTGAGACTGAGAGAAACTGGGAACATGCAAACTACAGATGAAGTAAATCAGGAGCATGTTTGGTGGGTTCTGGCTCATTAATCTTTTCACCTTGCCAGCTAGTTAATTTGAGCTTATACTATTTCATGATAACCTGTCCTTTTCTTGGCCTCAGAAATGCTTTCAGAAAGCATTAATAGAAGACTTCAAGAAGACACATGTCTTTAATATTAAGTAGCTCTTAACCCTGCAATTTTTATTCCACCCCCCCCCCCCTTTTTTCCTTCTTACATCTTTGGGGTTGTTCGCTAGTATTTGAAGATACAAAAGTATATGTGACAGTCCTGTGCACGCTTCCTTTCTGAATTTTTTAAACCTGTATAGGAGGGTTTAGAAAGGTCACTGGAAGATGGCTTGGATATCTGACGGTGTTTTCAGTGTTAATCTTTTCCCTCAGGTTAATGTTTCTAATTTATCTTATATTTCCAGATATTTGATTATGAGATTCAGTGAGAATGTTATGATTATTCTTTGTTTCTTCTAGTTATCATAATCTGACAGGTGAAATGTCAGAGAAAATAAAATCAAACTAGCAGATCACCCCAGGGAAAAAAGGGCTTCAGTTGTCTGCATGCTGAGTGAAAAAAAAAGGAATTCTCTGATTTAGATTTCCAAAGTGACAAGCTGCTCCTTGATAAAAATTATAGGCATTAGTGCACTGTGGGCTTTAAGAGACGATAGTAAAACTAACATTTTATACATTGAACAAAAGATCTTAAACCAAACATTAATTGTAAAATCTGTCTTCCAAAGAAATGCCTTAAAAGAATGAAGTGAATAACTGATGCTTGCTGTAGGAACAGCTAACCAATGTTTTAAAGGATACTTCATGCTTACATCTTGAAGGAAATTTTAATGACTGTGATATAGATCAAGTGATTTTTTTTTTTTTTAGTGCAGTAGAAATGATCCTCTACACTAATGCTTTGAACTGAGGACAAAGTCACCCTACAGGGACAATAAGCAAATAGGAAAAACTGTAGTTGTTTTGCACTTTAAAGATGGTAATCTCAAACAAAATAAGAAAGGACAAGAAATTTACTTCAAAACCTTCCCACTCTCCCCCGAAAACTAGGACAGTTTATATAGTTGTTAAAGTTAAGCTGGAATAGTTATGGCATAGTTATTTTCCTCATAGTGCTTTCTGGATGCCAAATGCACATTTTATATTATTTGGAACCATCCCTGTGACTGAAAGGATTGGTCTCTGTGCTCATTCAGTTCTTGGAGTTTATGATGAGATTTTGAGTACAGAGAACCTACTCCGAAACTATTTTTGCACCACAGATCGTGTTATTTTGGCACCTTGGTTTTTCATCTTTAAAGTAATTCTCTATAATTCTTCAAACGTGCTCAGGTGGACAGTGTTCTGCTCTCTGTAGATGTCTGTATAGAGCTACCATATGAAGAAGAGGATTTGGGCTTTTTCCTATTTAGCTAAATCACATTGGCTTTACTTTATGTGCTTTGATGGTTCAGTGGCGCGCAGAGTAAAAGAAGAGAGTGCAATTTGGTGGCTGGTATCACAACTCAGGAAGATGAGAAAGCCTTAATGAGAAGTTCATTGTATTATGCCTAAGTTAATCCTCTTGTGTTATCATAGTCATAGATTTATATTTTTTTTTCAGGTCAGAAAACACAATGTGGTTATTCTGTGTTGTCTTATAAGTGACACAAGATATATGATTTTATGAAATAACTTTCACATCAAGCTCAGAGATGTTAGTGAAACAATATTAAAGACAACATCTAGACTTTACATAGAGATTTCAAGCAATGGAAAAAATCTTCATGCTCCTAGATAAGTTTTGTAAGAGCATGCAGTAGGAGACTTGACTGTTCCTTCTCTGCTCTCCACTTTGCTATAGGATTGTGCACAGGCAAACATTTTGCACTGCTATAGAATATAACACCATCACTGCTGAGAGAAAGGGTACTTGTACAACTGAAACTTTGTCTCTAGAACTTCTGAATATCAGGATTTAAAGGCTTCTAAAAGGAATATACACAGGAAAACAGATTTTGGAGGAAAAATAAAAAGGCTTTAAGCTCTCTGTTGCAATTTTCTCTGTCTGTAAAATGAAGGTAACCCTTGCCTTTCCTTACCAAGCTCTTCAAGACTTTCTGATTAAAAGTGCCATATAAATGCAGTAATTTTTTTCCTCTGAATTAAGTAAATCATGTTAAACAAAATACCGTCTTTCAGAAATAATACATTCACCAAAAGGAAAGACCTCTTTTACATTATTTTTGCAACAGCATGTTTTGGATCCTAATAGTGATTTCTTTGGTTTCTCAAGGAGGAAAATATTTTAGGTGGAACAGATTGATGACTATAATTGAACAGAAAGAGACTGGTTGCTCAAAGGAGACTGTTATGCTTCTGTGCTCCCATTTTATTTTACCATGGAGAGAAAGAAAATGTTGGATTTATTTATAGCCAAGTAAACTAGGATTCATGCAGCTCTCATTTGTTACTGTGTGACTGTTCCATACTTCTGGCAAAAATGACTTTTTCTATGCCCATATTGCTTTTTATGAGTGTAAATGTGTCTAACTAAACCTTCTTCACATTTTATTATACTAGCACAATAGGTAGCTATATATAATTACTGGGTTCACCAGTTGCACAGGGGCTTGCAGTAGAGATTTTCCCTTTGTAGTTTTGGTTTAATTGAATTGATCCTTTGTGGCTATATTCACAAAATTCAAATCATTGTGTAATGGTAACAGGAAATTATTGATAAAAGAGTGGGGTTATAAAGTATATTCAGTGTTTCTTCACCCACATACAACAAGCTTCTGATGAGGCAAAGAGAATATGTCACAGGAAAGAACCAGGTGGTTCATGAAAAACTATTTATATTTGTGGAAATAACACAATAAAATGACTGCAAGTAGGTAGGTAGCATTTCACATTGCTTGCACATATATATATGTGACACATTGCTATTTATTCCTTGTGTTAAATAGAGTTTGTGACTAGGCTACCAGTTGTCATGGGGTGTATTTTTGTGCTGCAGCCAAGAACCATGAGGCTTTTTGTTTTGCTTTGTTTTGTTTTATCAAAAAGATTAAGTGCACTAAGTCCCTCAGGAGTAAACCATCTTGTTTCATATCTTGCCTATCCAGCGTCATATAAAGAATAGAGGATGTCATCCCAGTATTGTAAGCTGATCTATGTGAACCCCTGCATCCTTGTAGAATCCACATTTAAATGTGACTAAGCCCCAGTTATAATAGGTGAACGTACTGAAAAGCTGCAGCAGGCAAACAGCTGACAAGCACTGCCTTTCCAAGCTTATTGAATGGTTGTTTCCCAAAGATAAAATTTACCAGTTCCTAAGAAGATATTCACCTTTCAGTGATACTGGTACCAGTTTCATTTGATCTATCAAATTCCTTTCCAAATTTTACATCTTTTCCATGTAACACTCCAGAGGCTAAGGGAATTGGGTGGTTTTCACTGCAGATGAATATTTGTCAGATTTTGGCGATTATGCACTTTCATACCTTCAAAAAAATATGTACTTCAATAACAATTGTATAGGTTTTCTGTTGAAACTTCCATGTTTTTAAAACTACCTTTCTACATCCTTTCCTCTGGAATTTATCTGAATGGACAATGGATTTGTCTCTGATAAAGGGCAATATTCACCCAACCTAGCCTGACTTTGAAAGAACTTAATATAGATGGGATGAATCCCAGTATTTATCAAAAAAGTCTGAGAAAATTTCAGTATCTGTCCTGAGCCAGTTTGAGTTGTCTTTATAGTCATTGGAAAGAGAAAACTCATATCCAAGGGGACACTCATCATGTCTTATTACTGTAACCAAACATGACAAAATTTAAAATGTAATGTGAATTTCTGGTCCTAAAGGTATTTTATTCTTATGCAGGAAGCACTTGCTAATGCTTACTGTTTCTTCACAGTAAGAAAAGCGTTCCTCACAGCACTTTTAGGTCATACAGCTCCTTTAGATGCATTTAATGCTGGCTGCTTGAAGTGGTTAAAAAACTCCCGATTCAGTTCCATAATCAAGGCTTACACTTGAAAAACATCTTCTAGCAACAAGATTTGCTTTTCTTTCTCTTTACATCTTAGAGTTCAGTTTTCAGACCTTTTCCTACAAAAATCAGATCCCAAAATTTACAGATACATATAAAAATCCTGTTATTCTTTTTCCCAAAGTTGCATTATCGCAGCAACTTGAACAGAAAAAATATTACATGCTGTAAAATCATGACTATTAGCAGCAGTACTGTTGATTTACTGGCAAGAAGAAATGACTGAGTGCATAAAGGAAACAAACCATCCCTTATATAAAGCTGTGTGATGGGTTCTGCCTTTCTTAGGTACTTCTGAAGCCTTTCTAAACAGGAGGTACACTTTGCATTCTCCCCTACTATATCTACATTCTCCTTTCACTGTTGCTGTTCATCATTTTTCTCTTCTTTGCTGCTCTTCACATTTTCCCGAGCTCTCAATTATCTCTACTCACTTTTTAAAGTCTCCTCTTTTATAGTTTCTGCATTATTGACAATCTATTTGTTTCCCGTTCCCTGTCAGTCTTGCTTAAGCCTGCCCTTTCTTCAGCAACGAGCTGTCCCCCTGCTGAAGCAGCAATCAAGATCTATGCCTGTGGCTTTCCCAGTTGCTTTGACCTCACCATTCTCACTTCTCTGCTTTCCTCAGGCCATTTAGGTGTCTTCCCATTCTGCCGCCAACTTGTTTTAATCTACCTTGATTAATGCCTTCTACCCAATGTTCACTTCTGGTGATACATGACAGCTTATTACAAATAGTTTCAGTGTTCAACTTAAAGCTACTTCTAGGTTTTCCCATTTCAATGGACTTCCTTCAGCTTCCAGTTTCATTTGATATTTCCTGCTAGTGACTTTACTTCATCTTCTAGCCTTCAGCTGTA